TCCGATCTCCCCAAAACCCCAAAACCCCAAAACCCCGAGAATCAAGAACATCTCAAAATAAGGAAGAGCAAACTAAGAATATTAAGAGCCATCAGAATTGCATCAATAATACTATATTGATGATATTAAATATCATTTTTAATTTTAAGATTCATTAAGGGTAAGTAAAAAATGGCTTTTGAATATATCATTAACGTGCAAACTTTAGATTATGAGCAAATTCCAAAGCATGTTTGCAGCTCTTGACACTGAAGATGTACCAGTTCAAGCTAACGTTCAGGCTCAACAGAAAGCTGGTGAAAAGAAACCAGCTCCAAAGAAAACTGAGCAACCAAAGCCAGTCACTGCAAATTAAGAACAATAACCAAGAGAGAGATAACAAAGAGATAGACCACCCAGACAATACCAAGATGGTGAAGAAGGTGAATTCAGAGGAGGCAGAGGTAGCTACAGAGGAGGTTACAGAGGCGACCGCGGAAGAGGCGGCAGAGGCGGTTACAGAGGTGATTACCAAGGTGAACAAAACGAAGAAGGCGAGCAAAGAGAAGGCGGATATAGAGGCAGAGGTGGCTTCAGAGGTGGAAGAGGCAGAGCTCAATACAGACCAAAGACAGCTGCAGTTGAAGGTGGAGAGGAAATCCAAACTACCGAGACTGGCGAGGAAGTTAAAGAACAAAGAAACTTCGGCCACAGAGGTGAGAGACACGGCTACCAAGGTAAGCCAAGAGAAGATTATCACCCATACGACAGACAAGATGGAACCGGAAGAGCTAGAAGAGCCCCAAAGAGAGCAAACTACAACGAGCAAATGGTCTATAAGAAGAAGGGTGACCCAGATCCAGAAGTTCAACCAACCGAAGGTGAAGTTGAGGAAAGACCTCAAAGATCCCAAAGAGGTGGTAGAGGCAGAGGTGACAGATACCCAAGAGGAGATAGAAGACCAAGAGAACCAAGAGAAAACCAAGAAGGTGAGGAGAAGAAGGAAGAGACTGAAGCTAAGCCAGAAGGTGAAACCGAAGTTGAGCAAAAGACTGAGGAACAACCAGCTGCTGAAGGTGAAGACCAAAGAAGAGACAGAAGAAGAGATGAAATCGTTGAAGAGGAAGAAGTTAAGGGACTTACCCTTGAAGAATTCAAAGCTTAACAAAAGTCAAGATAAGCTAACTTGAAAAAGGCTGAAGGAAGAAAGGTCGAAACCGTGACTGCTAAGAACATCGAAAAGGTTGAAGCTCAAAGCCAAAAGATTACTTAAATCTCAACTGCCATTAAGGATACTGATCTCTACAACGCAGGATCAGCCAAGACTGAGCATGCTCATTTGTTAGGATTCCAAGGTGGTGCTGACGAAGAAGACTTCGATGGAGAAAGAAGAGGCGGCAGAGGAGGTCGCGGCGGCAGAGGTGGCCGTGGTGGAAGAGGCGGCGAAAGAGGCGGCGATAGAGGCTTCAGAGGTGACAGAGGTGGTGCCAGAGGTGGCGATAGAGGCTTCAGAGGCGATAGAGGTGGAAGAGGAAAGAAACTTCAATTCAACGAGGATGCTTTCCCAACCCTATGAGCAATCATCTCTCTTTAGATGAACCTGGATGACTTAGTAGAACAAAAAAATAACACCCAAACCAAGATCAAGCAATCCAAAATTGAAAGCTTAAATTTTAAGTTTTCTCTAAAATACCACATCCCAAGATAATGCTAATTTCGCCTTTTGGGGTTTTGGGGTTTTGGGGTTTTGGGGTTTTGGGGTTTTGGGG